CATTAAAAAGAGGGGCAGGTATATAAATACTGTAGTGGGTATGATTTTTTCACTATTGGAACATAAACTACATTATTTATTTAAGCACAGTTATGCTGTTTCAACTGTTCAATTCTCTAATTCCAAAATGATGAACATAAGTTTTCCTGTTAAGACCATTTGTAAAACTCCCTTGACTTATAGTTAACAACAGACCCCAAGCAGAGGCAGTTTTGTTTTTATATGGGTTTTTTTATATGCACAGCTCTATGAAACCACAAAAATTTATCCATTCCTATGACAAACATCGCAAAGATATAATTTGTGTCTTTTGAGTTTTGAGATGAAGATCGCAACACATTTCTGGCAGAACGTGCAGTTATATTCTGTACTAGTTTTCAAAAGCTCTGAAAAGACAGGATTTACAGAAGTGCAAGAGAAAAGTGGTTAAAAAGGCAGAAAAAGCAGCCACTGGCTAACTTATATATATTACAAAGATAACCACAGAAAGTTATCTGGGTTTGAAGAAATTATGACACAGAACAAGCTATCTGTGTTTACAGGATAATTCTTGACTTGAAAGGCACACAAAGGTATCACAATAATATTGTCAGATTTTGTAATGTTCTGGAGACTTGTACTGTTGAAATTCTACTCAAGAATTTGAACAGGAAATAATACAAATAATTCTGTATTGATCCCACAGAGTATTCACTGACAATAGATCAGAAGGTAAATATAGGCTAGGATCATGTACTGCATTAAACTCTGGCTGGCTTAAATCATGATTTGTAGAATAAGCGACACTAACCCAGTTAAAATATGAACATACCATAGTTGCATGATTCACAGGTCATGCATGCTAGGTCAAAAGCAAAGGAACCATGTGATGGTTTAGTGTCAAATATGAATCTGACCACCTTCTTGTTTTTGCTATTTGCCCAGGGACCAAGAGCTGCTGGAAAGCTGCGAGCATCACTTTCCAGGGTAAGCACCAACAAGAGCAACAATAACCTGCTCCCTTTAGTCATCTGAACAAGGAACTGCTGCAAGAAGCTAGCTTCCCATTTCCCTGACAGAAAGCAGATCCTGCTTCAGTTGCTAGTAACTATGGGAGGGAAGAAAAGATTGGAAGTAAACCTAGGTTTTGCCGGAAGAACAAGAAGGTAAGCGTAGACTTCATGTGGCATGTGGCTTTAAATAATAATAATAATAATAATAATAATAATAATAATAATAATAATAATAATAATAATAATAATAATAATAATAA